TACTGTGGTGCTCACTTGGAAAAATAAAAATTTTAAAAAATCTTAAAATGACAGAGGGCATAAGACTCCTATGTTACAAAAGGATATTATTACAGCATAGCAAGCAACATTGGCATCAGCATATTTGTGTCAGTTCCCCTTGCTAGCAAGTCCCACAGCAGCAAAGCATGGTCCCAGGTGAATACTTGCACATGCAGTGGGCTGTGTTACAGGAAAGACACCCCAAGCTTAGAGAAGCTGAATTATTTTTACTGAACTCGATGCATGTCTGCCTTTCATTCCAGAGAAACACATTATTTTTCTTATTCTGGGTTGTAAGTTTGTGTACATTTTGCTGCAAAGAGAGACACCAAATCTACATTTCAAGGTTTTTTCCTAAGCAAATGTCTTTGAAAAGATGGTCTGGAACAAAGGGAGTCAGTGATTAGTTTCAAAAGAAGTGCAGTGCATTGAGAACTGTTTTTCAGCGGTCTCACTCTTGATTCTATATAATATAGAGATCAGGACTATTTCTAAGGGCCATTCGATTAAAACAACATTCTTCAAGCTGTGTAAAGTTACAACATCCTTCTTTGTCCTAAGGCAGGGATTTGATTTTGAGGTCAAATCAGAAATCCTTCAACTCTGGGCACAAATCATTGAGCAAAATGTATAAGCGAATGTCATGAGGGCAGCCGTGGTTGGAAGTTGGGAAAAGATCTTTGCTTTTGGAGCCTGAGTCTGAAAGAATGGAAAGGTTCTCCTGAACAAAGAGTCCTCCCTTTCCTTGCTTGGGAAATAGGCTTTTGCTCCAAATTTTCTGGCACTGGGTCACAAGGAAGGCAGGGATAGCCATTTTACCCAAGTCTCTAGCTGTGTTTGTGAGTCTTTGCAGGGAATTGAGTCCTGGCCATCTAACTCTCAAACATTCTAGACCAGGCACAGCTTAAATAAGCCATGGTTTGGGCATGAGCTGGAACTCTGAGAGAAGCAGATGGCTGTTAAGCTCCTGTTTGCCTGCCTCAGACCCAGGAGGAAGAACCCAGGGATTTGAGCAATTACTTACTCATCTTCGATCCCCAGAATTCCATATGATTAGAGTGATTAATATTTTTTCCTGGCATGTCTTCCAATTAAAACATTCAAGGTAGCCTTAGGTTGGGTAAAAAGTTTAAATGCAGACCTTGTTGTAACTTTCCACTGTGAATTCTTTAATGGGAGGTCGGTGGAGGGGTAATCTGAGTTTAAGTTTTAACTTTACATATTAAAATGGTTCTATTTTGCTCATGTCTTGTGAGAAATCAATTAAATATTATTTTCCTTTTTTTTAAATCAGTTACTTACAATGCCTCTTTAGATGCCATCATTTCCAGCACAACCAACAGTACAAACACTGTGGTGCTGGCTTGGAGAGAAAAACCAAAAAAGCATCTTCAAATGACATCTTTCAACATTGCCCAGGGCATTCATGCTTTTGATTACCACTCTCGGCTCAATTTAATTGGTACGTAAAATAAATTATGATAACTACGGGGGCCTCATAGATAGTCTGGATGCCTATTTGTATGCACGAAGCCTCTTCACCTAGTTGCTTTATTGCCAGAGAGACCAACTTGAGAAGCTTACATTTTATTGCCTGAGAATGTCTGATAATGATGCATTATAATGCACGGTGTACATGAGCTACACTGGGGTGAACATATGAGGAAGTGCCCAGTTCTTTAATGAGTGTTTTTATTAGCACTGGTAGGGTAGTAAAGGGATACACAGAAAGAAGACAGTTTGTGCCGTGTCTGCGATTCTACCATCATTCTAACACATCCAAAAGCTTACCCCCCCAAATACATGATTTTCCTTGCTACCCATTCCCCCACCCACATACACATGAACTTCAAAATATAGAACATTTTCAACTTTCAGAATACAACCTCTAATGGTTTTTGAAATTTTTCAGGTTATCCTCGCTGTAGTTTATTAAAGAAGAGTTTTTATTTTGATATACAAGAACATATTTTAGCTGTGGAAATAGGCTATAAAGCAGCGGATCTCAACCTGTGGGTCGCAACCCCTTTGGGGATCGAACGACCCTCTCACAGGGGTAGCCTAAGACCATTGGGAAACAAATATATAATTACATATTGTTTTTGTGATTAATCACTATGCTTTAATTATGTTCAATTTGTAACAATGAAATTGGAGGTCACCACAACATGAGGAACTGTATTAAAGGGTCGCAGCATTAGGAAGGTTGAGAACCACTGCTATAAAGGGTTTCAGGCATTAACTGTTTAAATATATAGACATTTGAAAGCTGATAATTTGGTATGTATGATATTAGATCAAACATTATAAAAAAAGTGAGACACTATTGAAAAATTAATAGGGTAGTTACAGAGAATGACCATATATGGTCTACAGAAGGGATCATTTTAACCCTCATTCAGTAACTATCATTCATATGAAGAGTACTGATAGACTTCTATCAATAGGTACTGAGTATCAATTTAGGTACTGAGTCCCTACATTTCCAACAATAATAGCTGACAACTATAGTAAAAGATACTCAGAATATGAATTCAGGAATCTGCCAACATTAAACTTTCAAGGAGTGTTGATTTATTAGAGAATGCTGGAGCGGTTGGTGAATTGACTTTGGAAGGACTCAAATATCAGCCATTTCATTGACTGAGTGATTGCTTAGGTCAACCCCTTTCCACTGGTCACTATTTTGTAGCTGGCACAGTGCTGACAAAATGAGGGTGAATAAGCCAGCCCCAGCTGGCCCTCTCTGAGGGCACAACAAAGAATGCTCTTCTGGTTTCTCCATAGACCCAAAGAAGCACTGTGGTCCCTGCCCTGACACGCTCCCTGAGTACAGCCAATTTATGTTAAAAAAAATACCTTATTCTCTCAATTAAACAAGTAAAAAAATCTAGTTGTGCTTCTTGTTTGCTTGTAAATAATCATTTAGATGGCAGTGAAAATAATTTATTTCTTTATAGTTTTTTAATTCATTTGGAAACTTTGAATATTGTTTAGCTCTTTCTTACTCCTGGGATAACTAATATGACCATGTTCCTAAGCTGTGTTGGCTGGAGGGTGGAAATATAAGGACTAGAAAGCAGGATTTTGTCCCCACCTGTTCAGGCTACTGGCTGCTTCCTAAATGGTACTGTGTTGGCCTTTCACCTCATGAGCACCCCTCCCCGCCTGCTCCCTTGGTTTCAGCTATTTGTATGATAGAGCTCATGCCCCATGAACCTGAGCTGTTGGGCAATGACAAGATTTTCTATCTTTTTGAGACCGGCACTTGTCTACAGATATAAGATACATTCATTTCAAAAAGAAAATGTAGGCTATTAATGTTATTAAAAACACTTTTTCTTTCTGATTCTGATTAGCAACTGCTGGCATTAACAACAAAGTCTGCCTTTGGAACCCCTATGTGGTCTCTAAGCCAGTTGGTGTTCTCTGGGGTCACTCCGCCAGTGTAATAGCTGTCCAATTCTTTGCTGCAAGAAAACAACTTTTCAGCTTCTCCAAAGATAAAGTAAGTAACATTGTGCATTTATGTGATTCTGCTTCCGCAGTTCTACCCAAATCTAATATTGATACTCAATTACTCTGAGAGATGGTTTAGATTTTAAAATATACTGGCTAACTACTATGTCTTTGAAAATTTACATTTGCAAAATATACTGATGTTCATGTAACAATAGTCTCAGGTAGTGGGGCAAAGTATTTCATAAAAATTTTTAAAAATCATATACTCATGAATTTAATTCATATTATTGAGCTCTTAATAGGTCATATCTTGAGAGTTTCAAGAGTTCTCACTAATTCAATGGAAGAAAAACAGAAATGGGGACGAGGAAATGTTACTTTGGTGAGACACAGCTGATTAGCTGTTGTTGCTTCAGTATTGAAGACTCAATAAGTAAGAAATTAAAGTTAATCTGAAGAATGTCAAGTACATTGAGAACATTTCAATTAAGCATATCAGTTCATTGCTATTTGATATTGAGGGGATATTTTAAATATGATGGAAAAAACATGGCACTGGAGCCAGATAGTCCCTGTTGAATTCTGACCACATTATTTACTACTTATCTCCCCTCAGGAAAACTTCTTAATCTCTAAAAATCCATCATTTGTTCCTCTGTAAAATTTCCACTTTACACAATGCATGACTTCTAGATCTAGTTAACATGTATAGATTTCAAGACACCTGGTTGTGAAGCAATAGGCTTTGGGGGGCAGCTTCTGAGACTCTTCCAGTGAATCTAACCTTTTTATTCTAAAGTGCTATGTAAAAACTAGAAATTCATCTTCAGCTCCTAACCTCACCCCACCCATAAGTCCTGCCAAATGAGCATATTTTACTGTTTACTTATCACATAAATCCTCTCCCTTTCCTTTAAGCTTCTCCAATCAACTGCTAATTCCTGCCACCGTTCAAATTCCAAATCTCATATTCCTTTGCTCTAAATACTACAAAGCTTTACTAACACATCTCCCCACATTACGATGGGTCTGACTTCAATCTCTCCTCCATTAAGAAAATTTCTTCAACCATCATCTTTTCCCTTGGTCTAACCATCAATTCTAAAATGCTCGCTATCTTATATAAAGCCCTCCCCAATCTACTTTACTTCCTGCTTTCCTCTTCCATTCATTTAGGCTCCAGCCATATCAACCTCCTGGCTGCTTTCACTGTGCTGCCTCATGGCTTTGCAGGATGCTCTCCCTTCTGCCTTCAGTCCCCTCTCCTCTGTGACCAATTGGCAAATTCCTAGTTGTCCTGGAAGCTTCAGACTTTTTGGAGTCCTTCATGCACACCTCGGTGTTTCCCTGCACTCCCTTCGCACCTGTGTGTCCCTCATTAGAGTCTGTGTCATGTTGAACTGAAAGAGTTATTTGCTTCCTTAAGCAGGGTCAGGATCTTTTTCCCTTGTATTCTATCACAGTGCTTGGCACCTTGTAGTGTTTGGTCCATGATCAGTTGTTGACAGCTTGAAGGGAAGCCACATTACTGTGAATCGGAAGTACCAAAGAAACTCTGAGTGAAACCTTGTTTTGATGCCCTACTCAGATTTAGTTGTTTTATTTTTTTGAGATCGTTTAGCACTTTGTTCTAACTTTCATTATTGAATTTAAGACAAATTGTCTTGTATACTGAAGGTTGTGTATGTACATATTGTATTCTAGAGGAAAAGATTACTTGAGGAGTTGATTTTCGTGTTTCCCAGGAACTTGCACACATTAGTACACATTAAACACATGTTAAATACATAATATATAAAATAGTGTAATTGTCAGTTAACTGATAGAATTTGTGAAGTTAGGGGCTAAATCTTCTTTTGGATTGTGCCATGCATATAGAGGTCCTCAATAATTTTTGAGTAAATAATAAATTCATTTGTTAGTTAAATTGACAATATCTATTAAACATAAATATAAATTAAATACCAGATATTTTATCATTACAGAGTTCTCTGAAAGGTTTGATAAATTTAAAGGCAAGTGAAAAAAAATGTCCTTAGAGTCAGAATTGATTGTGTACAGCTATTATCAATGTAAAGACTACCTGGCCTCTTTCAAAGCACTTTTATCTTTCTATTTTTGCTGGGACTTCTAAAAGCATTACATTATAATTAAGCTTGTCATGCTGTCTTTCACATTAGTCTGAATCCATTTTCCTTTGATAAATGCATGATAATCACAGTCTTTATGTCTTCACAACAAACAACAGGGCTTTCTGCTCTCAGGGGAAGCCTCTGCTTTATTGCCATACAATTATTTTGGGTATTTTATAGACTGGGGATAAGTTAGGGAACAGGGAAAATGAAAGGAAGCATCCTTTTTTAAAAAGAGCCTTTGAGTGAACCATGTTTTGGTCAATGAATTGCTAAATTAGAGGATTTTCAGAGCAAAGTAAGGTAGATCGAACTAATTTCCCCCAAAAATGATCTGAGACCAGTTCTCTTTTGGAAGACTGCTCTACTGCCACTTTCCAGTGCTGAATAAGCAGTAAGTTTATCCCCATAGAACTTGGTAGCATACGAAATAATTGTCTAAGTGCATTGTGTTTTGGATTCCAAACTGCCTCATAAAATGGTAGTCACGGAGGACAAGGCCCTGCTGGAAGCCAGCAACTTGGTCATTTGATGGCGGAATCACCATGGGGAGTGAGAGGATTCTCAGCCCAGGGGTTGATATTCCAACCAGTGGACCTGATTAGGCTTTTCTATTGTTCTTAACCCTTCTCTCCTGGGTTACTAATCCTCACTTACCCACCAGAAGCAGATCACGCTGTAACTTAATCCTTTGTTTGCGGTTCTGATTTTGCCCAGGGCCTGGTGTGTCTGTATCGCAGTCCTAAGGTTGGGAAGGAAAATACAAAGTTAGACTTTTGTGTTGGTGCCTCCATCTCACCTGTTTGTCTTCCTTTTCCTTTTGTATCACACCCCCTCCCCCCATCCTCAACTTCCCTCTATTTACCCAGGAATAATCATTTTCATTTTGTCTTAATTATGTAAGTACATGAGTGAATACCCTCCCATAAATTACATATGAAGAACCATGTAATAAAAAAGAGTATATTCTTCCTGCTAACTTCCCTTTCAAATCAATTCCTCTCTCCCTAAATAGCTATTAACAGTCGATGTGTATTTTCTCATATTGTGTTATGACTTAATATATTGTATTATTGTGTATGATACATTCATCATATATTATTATATATATCATTCTACGTGTGTGTACAAATACAAATTTTTTTCTTTTTTTAGTTTTCTGGTAAATAGTATCACAGGAATCATATTTTCCTGCAACTTGCTTTTCTTTAAATAATCTCTCATAAAGATCTTCCCATGTGAGTATATATAGATAGAATTTTTACCTGCTACATAGTAATTTATAATATGGATGGCCATAACTTAATTGTTTAATCAACTATGTATAAAAAAGACATTGTTTTTATTTTTTTACCTTTATAAACCAACTATCACACACACAGACACATATACACACCATTAATACCTCATAAGTAAATTTCTTTGTGATAAGTTTCTAGAAGTTACGCTATTGGGTCAACAGAAATGCACTTCTTAAAGAATTATTATAAATTTTGGTGATTTCAATTAAGAAATGTTGCACTAATTGGAATGCTCATTCGGGGTGTATAAAGATCCCAGTTTCCCTAAGCTCTTATCAATAGTTGATACCATTGATTTGTTCCTCTTTTTGTGAATCTGATGATAAAACATTAGGGTAAATTTTTTTTCAAATATTTATTGGTCATTTACATTTCTTGTTTTTTTGTGTGCATTATCTGATCATGTCTTTTACCTTATTAGCTAAACTTTGTCTTTTTCTCACTGATTTATTGTCTGAAAAATATTTTGGTTATTCTTTATTTATAAGATGCAAATATGTCTTTCATGCTTATATCCTTTACCCTTGTTTATATCATTTTTCTCATTAAAATATTTTTAATAATTGAGTCTTAAGAAATTATTTTCTTTATGGCTAGGGATTGTGTACCTAGCTTAGGAATGCCTTCCACACCTATACTTATAAAAATTCTCTGTTTTATTTTCTACTAATACTTTTTATGCTGTAGAATTTTTTTGCACTTAACTTTGTTGTTTATTTTTGTGTGAAGTTTTTATTTTCTACAAATGGATATCCAAGATTATTTTTTAAATAATTTCTCTCATTGGTTTGAAATGCTATTATTTTCATCATTTGAAGTACTGTATATGCATGAATTTTTTTCTAGATGCTTTATTTGTTCCATCAGTTTACATGTCTTTTCCTACACTAACTTACCACTGTTTAACTAGCATAGCTTTACTGTGCATTTTGATACATGGTAGGGCAACTCCTACTTTTTATGTTTTTCTTTTTTTAATTTTAACTATTGTCTGGCATTTTATTCTTCCAAATAAATTTTAGGATCAATATTTATGTTCCATAAAAACCATATTAGTATTTGAATTGGAATTTCATTGAGTTTGATATTTTGACATCTTTAAAATATTGAGAAAGCACATTCTGTATTTACCCACTATTCATTCTTTTAACTGTTTTTCAGAAAAAAATTATGCACAAATTTGTTTCCTATTCTTTGTTTAGGTTTTCCCTCCATATTTCAGAAAACACCCTTATATATATTCTTAACTTTAAAAGGGGTGTTTCTAATGGGGGTGTGCCCACTCTCATTATAACCCATACACTGAGTTTTTAATTTTATCATCGTTTCTTAAAAATAATTTCAAAACTGCTTGGCAATTGTGAATAGTCTTTCATTGTTCATTTTTTGGAATTTTGACTTTTAGCTTTTTAATTTCATATTATTATTTTACATCCTTATCTGATAATTTCAATGTCTGGAGTCCTTGGTGATTCAAAAGCTGAGAGTTGCTATTCTGGTGATTCTCCGTCAGGGCAACTTCTTACCTTTATATTTGGTTATCTTCTGTAAAAAAAAAATATATGTTTTTATTGATTTTTGGAGAGAGGAAAGGGAGAGGGATAGAGAGATAA